GACATGGTATACTGAAACGTCGAAAAAAATGGTGCTCATCTTGTCAAAATAAATGAGCTTGAAATTACCTTATCAAATTACCAGCTTCTGAAATTAATAAAATTTTAATTTGGCATTAAACTTTTATGCGTCTGTGTTCAAACGGAGGCATTTTTAACACTAAATAATTTGTCAAATTAGTGCTTTATGAAATTAATGCTCAAAATGCTTATTAAAATTCCGTTCAATTCAACGGAAAAGCATTTTGTTTGACTCAATAACTACATTTTTATTCAATTACAAACCGTGATGAAAATCCATTTTTTTAATTATTGGCATAATAGGAAACAACCTTTAGCATACTGCTAAGCCCATGACAATGAATTGAAGTTGTTAATTCTCAATTTCATGCTTAGAATTAACACCTCCAATTTGTCTCTTTGGAAATACGCAATGGTAGAATTTCAAAGTAGTACTGAGCAGAATTTGCAAATTTCGAACCCCAATTAACCGCAATCGGAAATGTGTTGGTTTATTTATTCCATCAAATCGATAGTTGAAATGGAATTGCAGTTACAGTCTTATCAAGATTACACTTGCCTTCACTAGATCAATCCAAATGAATCCTTTACATCTTATCTAAATGATTTGTGCTCTTCAAAGATGCTAATTTGTAAGACTTTCGAAGTCCTACTGATCAAGATTTGCAAATTGTAAATTCAAACTAACCTGCGTCGGAAAGTTGTTATAAGTTATGCTCTTCCACGCCAATACCCCGTATTAACCCTACATCAATTAACTTATTACTTAACCAGTTATTTAAAGCCGATTTATACAATACTAGTTGTACATAAACAGCATTTATTTACTTTATGAAGTTTCTGAGCAATAAGGCAGTAATAAACCGTTAAGTAAATTGAACATCAATTAAAAAATTACAATCAACACTAATATCTAATTTACGTTCAATTCGGCAAATCCAACGAATCATCTTTTGTTGAGTCTCGTTATATCATGCAGCAGCTAAATTCTCATGCATGCAGGCGTTACTCAAATTGACTGCTGAAATATGTAATAAAACAATGTTACGCAGATCTCCATGTATTAGGTTGGCAGCTAAGTCATTGTTGATTTTAAATAAGAATGCAAATTCGGAATTTTTGTTTAAAAATATAGCTTTATTCAATTAGGTATTGGTCGTTCTTGTATTTTAAATAAGAATGCAAATTCGGAATTTTTGTTTAAAAATATAGCTTTATTCAATTAGGTATTGGTCGTTCTTGTCGATGACCTTATTCCATCGTTCTGGCTGAGATAAAAATTCCCCGTTCGAAAAATGTCTGGTCTTTGCCATTAATAAACTGAATTAGGTGTGATCCGACATCATCCGCGTTGTTAAAAGTTTTACCATTTAAAGAGTTTTGCATGGAACGAAACAAATGATAATCCGAAGGCGCAAGGTTAGGGCTATATGGTGGGTGTGACAAAACATCCCAACCCAGTTCCAATAATTTTTGCCGAGTAACCAAAGATGTGTGGTGAGGGGCCTTGCGTTATCATAATGGAAAACAACACCCTTCCGATTTGATAATGCCGGCCGCTTATCTTCAATTGCATCCCTCAGTTTCTCGAGTTGTTCAATATACACATTTGAATTTATCGTTTGGTTCTGCGGCATGAGTTCAAAATACAAAATTCCTTTGTGATCCCACCACACTGACAGCATAATCCTTTTTTGGTGAATCTCTGCTTTTGATACTGTTTGGGCTGGTTCATCTTGCTTCACCCATGATCTCTCACGAGTAACATTGTTATAAACTATCCACATTTAGTCGCCAGTAACTAAGTTCTTCAGAAATGGATCATTCTCATTGCGTTTCAGTAGTGGCAAATCACAGATGCTAATCCGTTGCATCAAATGAATTTCCTTTAACTGGTGAGGGATCCATAAATCAAGTTTCTTGACATAACCAAGGGTTTTTCATTTTTTTTCAATGCATGTATGCGACACATTGAGCTTTTCTGCAATATCTCGTGTTGTGCTGTGACGATTTGACTCGATAATGACCTTGATATGGGTTTCATCCACTTCGACTGGGTGGCCAGATCGTTGTGAATTTTTCAGTGAAAAATCACCAGAACGAAATCTTTCAAACCAATTTCGACAATGCCTTTCTTTTAAGGCTTCATCTCCATATACGGCACATAACTTCTTTTGTGCTTGCGATGCGTTCTTGCCTTTTCGGAAGTAATACAATAAAATGTGTCGGAAGTGCACGTCCTGTTCTTTCATTTTTAAATTGAGATAAAAACAAAACTAAAGAGCTAAACGAAAGAAATTTTTTATTAATTAACCTAGAAGCCCATACAGTAAGAAAAAAATATAGGTTAGATGCTCTGGCCACGTTAACAAAACAAAAGAAAGTATAGAGTGAATCCGTCAACAAAAACGGCAATGAATTAGTTGCCAACCTAATATATAGATGCGACAATTTAAGTCACGAATAGTGCTAAATTTGAATAAAAGTAATATGAAAATACCAGATAAGTTGTCGTTATGCTAGTATTTTCTTATGGCAGAGCAATCCATTCTTGAAAAGATCGTTTATACAGAAATTAGGATTTGAGAATTTTTTGAGGTGAAATTTGATTAAACTCTTCGTTAACAGCATTATCAAAAAAAGCAATTCAATGCGTGTTCGGGATAAATTGCTAGTTGTTTATAAGTGCTCAAAATATATGTGGACAATTTTTAGGGTTACTTTACGGAACAATAAAATACAAATTTTAATTTTTGGAGCGCTCTTTATAAATAACAACTTCACTGTTCACTGTTGAAATGGAAGCAACATTCACGCTTTCACTAAATGCATTTGCATTCTAACATTAGAAATGCTTTCCACATAGTAATTTTCACAGAGAATCTGTGTCATTTATTTATGGAAATTCGAGGAGTAACTCGAAACTTACTTTTTCCGTAACGATACTACAACAATTAAATTTCTTCAACATATAGCCCGGAGCACATGTATTCAGTCCGTATCATGCGGGTAGAGCGTACACGCAGGGAGCTACTCATGATCAGGAAGGCGGATTAAGTTAAACAAACGGAGGTTAATGATTGGCCACTGTTTGTTCACACAGAGTTGTACGGCCGCACCTCTCAACAGTGGTCTTTCAATGGATTCCCGGTCATTGTGGCATTAAAGGCAATGAGCTTGCTGATTCACTTGCTAAGAAGGGGACAACAATTTTTCAAGGCATAGAACGGTCGGTGTTTTCCACAAAATAAAGATCTTAATTAGGAGAGACATCATGACCGCAATGTGCAACAAACCTTAAGGAGAAACAGTAGCTTGTGGCACTCACTTTCATAAATAACTGGCCAAGAATTGAAGCAGTTTCTGAGTTTAGACCAGATTGCTTGTAGGAGCTCATTCATAGATTAGGAGTAAACACTCAACCAACATGACCCCTATGTAACCTTACAGGGAAAATTTAGAAGACCCACCTGATTTGGTGTTCAGCTATAAAGAAAATGACTGAAACGCGGAGATTCTGGAAAGCCAGATCAATAATATATGTGTACCTTTTTAATCATGGGGAAATCTGAAATAAACTACCGGGCTAATGATAAATAGCATAAGGCCCAAATACCACATTGCACTTCAAGTCAGGATATAGGAGCGTAATTGTTGGTGTCACCGGTGTTTTGACAAACATAATTCAGTCTCAGGAGCGCACCATTGA